TGTGATGATTTTAAGAGTTTTTTACCAATAGAAAAAAACAACATCAAATGTTGGATTATGAAAGAGTTGTTACTTTACATTTTATACGGTTTCGGGGGTATATAGTTTTTTTTTACCTGCCCGTCCGTCTGTCTGTTTGTCTATTTGTCCGCAAATACTTGAACCTTGCCCATAACTTTAGACTAGATGGGACTATAACTTTCATATTTCAGTTGTATTTTTGTGACAAAACCTTTTTGTGTACAACCAATTTTGACCTTTTGACCATGACATTGGAGTTTGACACACTTTTACACAAATATTCCTAGTAAAGTAACTTTTACTTTGGCATTAACTTTTGGACGATTTGTGCCAGTACTTTACATGCTTTAGATATCGAAGTTACTTATATGCAAAGTTAGTGTCAATAAAATCTCAGAAGAAAGGGTATGTTACAGCAACCATTTGACAGGTGTCTGTGGGCTAAAAAGTGTTAAAAAGATAAGGTATTTTTTGAATTTGTAGATATCTCTGAACGTTGAACTATTATTCACTCAGATGTAAATCTTTGCTAGTTTTAGAGGATTTTTAAAGATATCATTATAAGAACGTTCTCGATGTGTATGGTATTTCCCGTTTTCCCTATATACAGGAAAAAGTATAGTGCCTTATATAAGGTAGTTAAAACGTATGTATTTTAAAGCATAATGCATACAGATGTATATCTAAGTTGAAAGGTAAAAGCTAAGGGAATTGAATTTATATAGTTAAATTACGTTTCTTTTCTGGCTTCTATGCAGTGCTTTTCGATTTATAAAAAGTTTATGGTTATCAGAAACATATCATGCCATTTTCGGAACAAAACCTTTGAATGATAAAAAAAACACCAAAAAATATAATCATAAATGTATGCTTCTCAATGAAGAAGGGATATGGAGATCACGAACAGTATTCAATATCAAAGTCCATTACACAATACAAAATAAGAGCAGAGCAATCGCAGACCTCAAAAACAGAGGTGGGATCAGGTACAATGTAGGAGTGAGCCTCCCCTACTGACCGTTCACACCCGTCGTGTGCTCCTTGTCATGATCGGGAAATAACGGAAAAATCCGTCGTCAATTCAGTGTATAAATAATGGACTAACAATTAGTATGAAAATCGTCAGTCAGCATTTGACTCAATGATAAATTGTATTTGCTGACAAGGTCATTGTATCGACCATAGATCTTACTAATTGATGACTTTAAACGAGACTACCGATATTTATGTTTCATCAACTTGCTTGTCAATAATTTACCTCGTTTTCGAAATTGTTAATACGTATAGCATGTTCTTGTGTATCGAAAAAACTTAGATATATAAACTCCGTATGCAGGTGATGAAGGTATGTTGCTGCACAAGTAAGGGAAGTTGACGATAGAAAAGTTCAAATCATCACGTTTATCATATAGCTTGGTTGTTAGATTACAAATATTGTCTTTTTTCAAGTAAAATATCCAAGTATGAAACAGATCTGTCAAAATCTGTGGTATATTTTATCTCTAGCATACCAGGATATATCTTATCGACGTAGAAATGTAAATGACAATACTTCGTCGATATATCTAAATGTCGATTTGAAGGCCACAGCAAGTGTTTTCTTCTTTCCACGCATACGATTTTGCACATATTTTGCTACAAACAAATACAAAATTAGGTCTGCTGATACGGAGCGCAATTGGTACCCTTGGGAATTCCAATTGATTGTTGGAAGACCTGGTCTCAAACACTACGTAGATATTGTCAGTTAGAAACTCAAGCATCTTTGATGTCAACTTCAGAGTACTAGTGTGCGCAATCAGAATGTGTTTTAACAAAATAATTTTGCAAATGACCAATAACCAGGTAAGTAAATTATCGAGTTCCATTTTTATTGAAAAAGCAGCCGTCAATGATATCAAAAAGCCTGAACTTTAATTTGTCGTGGGGAATGGTTGTGTGTAAACTTGAAAAGTCTTAAGCTGTTGATTTTGGAAAATTCTTAAGATTTTAAATTTTCCAAAAGTTCTTTGGAAATTTTGAGTATCCACATCTGATTCACACCATTTCTTGAATATATTGCTGCACAGTACTCTTAAAGTTTTTCATTGGGATTCTGTGAGCCAAAAATAAATCCATACCAGATACATAGATTGTGAAGCTACTATTAAGATATGCAATCAAATATATGTTGGAAAGGATTAAAGTACATAAAAAAATTCCCCCTAATTGCATTTGAAAGTATGAAAAAATAGCAGGAGACACAGATATTAGGTGTTATAGTATAAAAAAGTAGGGGGTCAAATTTCTATGGGGGTCATTTTTCAACGTGTGTGAAGTCATAGAATTACTGGTCTGGAATGTTTTTCTACAGTCGAAAAATGACCCTACTTGTCGTAGAATATTGACCGGAGGTCATTTTTCTACGTAGAAAAATGACCCCCAGGTCAATATTCTACGGGGGTCACTTTTCGTCGTTACACCGGCGCGCCAGCCCTGGATCCGCCTTCGCAGCTAACTTTGTGTTATAATTCTATGTTTAATTTTGCTGAACGACAATTTCCTTAAAAAGTTGAATTAATTTTGCTTGCAAGAAATCCGTATTATATTCCATAGTTTGAATTTGTGTTTGGTTCCTAGAAAAAATAATAAATATAGGTATTTTTCCTTTAATTAACATATTTATTTAATTAGAAATTCAATGACCAATCCAGGAAATTTTCCGAGGGGAAATATATAAAAATACCCGCCCAAATATGTACACATGTACAGTGTATATGTATCACAAATTCTTAATCCAAAGACAAAAACATTAATAATGAAATATATATGAAACATATGGAGAAAACGAACATGAAAGATTCCAATTGTGAAGATCTATTTTGTGAGTGTTTATGTGTGCCGTATGTTTAAGGTTAAAGGTGAATCTTAATATTTCACCATCTTATGTAGACATAAAAGTTACTCTGAAAGTCGTCTTTTGTATGACTTTATATCATGTTATAACGACTTACTATGTCGTTTGTTCAACTATCATGTATTTCCGAAAACTATTTCGTAATTTTGACTGTTTATCTCTTACGTACGACTGCATATCTTGTTTGTACGACTTTATTGTACATATACATACCACTAAGAAAAAATATTTTCAGTTGGCAACAATGCTTTTCTATGGGATTGCTTTTCATGAAGGATGATATGTTTAAGAAAACAATTTGCAAGGATAAAGTCTACTTACATTTATTCCAAAGTGATAACTCCACAAAAATAAGTAAAATTAATTGTTTGCAGTCCATGTCAGCACCTCAAATACCCCTTTGCTATGGATATGCAGTAAAGTATACCGTTTATGAAATGAATACAATTTATGGTTGCTATATTATTAATGTAGACACTTAGAGGGGTAATACGGAAATATGTGGGGTCCTTGAAAAAATCCATATTGGGCGAGGCGTAAGCCGAGCCCAATATGCATTTTTTCAAGGACCCCACATATTTCCGTATTACCCCTCTAAGTGTCTACATAACGAATTTATCCTGCCGATGGTTCACTAAAAGATTAAATATTGATAGTATCAATAAACCGCTTTCACTGTACGTCCAAGCAAGACGTTCTACATCCATTGTACGTTGTCGATAGACGCATTGTGACGTCAGTTATGAAGCTCCATGCGGGTCACGTGAAAGCAGTATATTGATGATGTGTGGTTGGTAAAATTTTAATATATGGTGGGTAGGTCACGTGGAGGGGGCACATTAGCAATGTGAGGTGGGTAGGCAGCATAACATCGTTTCATGCGGTATGCTCTCGGCCAATGAAATTTCACGATTTTTATCAGAGGCAGGATAACAGTGTATCAAGTACTTCCTCGTGTTGTTGCATTATATGTTATTCACCATACCGCTGGATAAAAAACTTCAAGATATGCCTGTACCTTATCTTCCTTCTAAAAATGTCATGTCAGTATTCAAATAAAATTGAGGACAATAATAATAAGGAATTACCCTGATATGACTAAAAATATTAATGATTTATCTTTGTTTCTCATTTGAGATGTATAAGTGGGCGAAGATATGTGCATGTATTGTTTATTAAAGGGTGACAGTCAAAGTACCCTCTAACATAATTGTCCTGGTGAAATCGCCCAATATTTAAGACATATCCCTCTAGTTAACATAATTGTCCTGGTGAAATCGCCCAATATTTAAGACATATCCCTCTAGTTCTGGTCTAAAGCGTCCATTAATAAAATAATTCCATAGAAAACTATTATGAAATCGACCTCAAGTATAGGTCAAAAATTAATTTATTAACAATTATCGTTATTAGTCTCTCTCTTCTTGAAGCCCTTATTATAATTTTAGTCAGAGCGCAGTTTAGAACACAATATTTTATATAATTTGTCGCTCAAACTCTTTCCCTATTAAGAAATATTCTTTATAAATATTTGGGTGCTTTTTCCAAAAGATTCGGACGGCTCTATGGGAAAAGGGGTCTTAATGACAAAATTTTCCAAATTGACTTTTCAAATATTTCAAATCTACAACAAATTTAGGACACGCAGTCACAATTTGAGCATTTACGTAATTTGCTATATTTTTTAAAGTTATACGTGTTTGAACACAACATGTTGCAATGAAACAATAACGTCATTGACTTATTCAATAAAGTCATCTTTTTATTTTAAATTACTTCTTTATTCGAAAAATGTATGCAGTTATAGGATCTCCCATGATTTATAATTAAAATGTAGTTAGGATTTTTATCCAAATCCTATACGGTGTTTTTTTTTATCCCCGAGCCTTGCATGATTGTTACTGTAGTATTTTATATTTTTTGTTAAATAAAATATATAACGAAAGACTTTTACACCTCGAAATTAATACACTTTAACAGGTATTTTAAATAATTCATTATTTCTTCATATTTAAATGAAAATAGAGACGCATAAAAATGAGAAAAAAGGCAAAGAACGCCCGGTACGTAGCAAATCAGACGCTTAGAACTTCTTATTTACAACGCTTGGCCCGTTTTCATCATACTCTACTTTGTTGATACACAAAGTATTGAAAGAAGAGATGGAAGAAAGAATGGATCCACCAATCCATACGGAGTACTTCCTCTCCGGGGAAGAGAGAATTTTGATTTCTGTATTGCTGGGAGCAAGAGCGGAAATTTCCTTCTGCATGCGGTCAGCGAATCCAGGGAACATGGTAGATCCCCCAGAGAGAACGATGTTAGCGAACAGATCACGTCTGATGTCTGCTTCACACTTCATGATGGAATTTTGCACCATTTTGTGGATACCCTCTTCCTCTTTTCCCAAGACCGAAGGCTGAAATAAAGCCTCAGGACAGCGGAATCTTTCATCGCCTAAAGTGACGGCTTGTCCATCAGGGAGTTCATAGGTTTTCTCTGATTTATTTGTCATTTCTTGTTCAAAGTCAAGCGCAACATAGCAAAGACTTTCTTTTATATTACGCATGGTTTCAAAGTCGATTGACGATGTAAAAGAATATCCACGTTTCGTAGACAGTTTAGAAAGGTAGCGTGTTAACTCTTTGCCCGCCATATTCAAACGTAGTATTGTATTGGAAAATACACGGCCTTCGTTGATGGGCACGGCATGGAATACACATTTTCCGGAGTCCAATACTACACCACTAGTTCTACCATAGTGATGCAGTGACAACACAGCCTGATTGCCTATATGTAAAGCGGGAGAGTGGAAGGTCTCAAACATAATTTGAGCCAGTTTCTCGCGATGGACTTTCACATTTATCGGAGCCTCAGATAACAATACTGGATGCTCTTTGGGTGTAACTCTCAGCTCATTTAGAAAAGTGTGATTCCAGATCAGTTCCATGTCGTCCCAGTTTGTAATTATGCCATTCTCAATGGGACTCTTTACAGAGAGTATATTTCTTTTCCGCTGCGCTTCTTGTCCAACAAAACTGTCCTTTTTACTTTTTGCAAAAAATCTTGCCTGAAATCAAACGATACACTGAGTATAAGTCAAATTTGCTTAGTTAACATATGCAAAAAAAATTAATGAATGTTTCTTATCGTTTGGAGAATTAATTTAAGCAATCAGACAATTTTAATGTGGCAAACTTCCAAACATAATTCAAATCAATTTCTTCGTTTATTTGATTTTTAAAAAATCAGCAAGTTTAGATATTCAATATAAACAAAATGGAAATAACTCAGTCATATCATAAAATATAATAAAAGGAAAAAATAAAGCTACATAAAACATGTACAGGTCTCAAAAATATTAATGTAAATTTAGTTAGCTTTGCATTAACCAAAATGATTTAACTTAAAATACAATGCTCTCATAAGATATGGTTAACGGTTGCATGACAGGCAAGCATAACAATTTTTACGAACAGAATTGTGACACAAAAGGAAAACAATTTTTAAAGAAAGAAAATCATTACCTATACACACTTTAATGTATATTTTAAAAAAGAGACAATAGAACTTTTCATTACACAAGAAATCTTTCAGTTAAGTTTATCAAAAGTATTGTACGTATTTTTACTATTCTCTTAGAAGAAAAATTAAGAGAAAATTCGATAAAAAATACGAGTTCTTCTAAGTCTGGTGATAACTTGAACATAAGTATTGAAATGCCACATCTTTATCCATTCAGGCTTCATCAGATTAAATCGTCTGGGTTGTATGGGTACCCGTAAAGGTAATATTCAACCTCGAGAAGATTTTCAATGGATTCAAGAAGACTGACGTTTTAAATGCTTTCAAACTTCTTTGCTGTTAACTTTGATTGCTTATAATGCTAAATTTTGCACTAGTTTGACTGAATGTTGCTTTAAAAACATAAGGACTAAGCGTGAGGATTGTATATATAAAAAAAGTATTGTGTTAATAATATCTATTTTCAGCATAGAATTTTTTAACAGAAAAATTTTATCAAATACATGTAATATATTTTAATTTCATTTTTATAAGTGTGTTTTTTTGTTTCAGGTTAAAGTGTTAGTTCTTTGCAGGATTGAATTGAAGTTCTAAAAAGACAAACCAAGCATGAATTTTTGGCATTTGAATCAAATTAATTACGAAAAATTGTAGGACATAAATATATAATTAATTTACACCAGAAAAGTATATCGTTTGTTCGATGAAAACCGTCTATAACTTATCACTAAAGCTATTATATAATAAATAATACGTACAGAATACTCATGATACATACAACAGGATATTTTCTATCGAATTTAAGTTAATTTTAGCAGTGCGTTGATATCCTGATTTGTTCTTAATGTTCACCTTATCTTTAGGTCACAAATATCCGTAGTTTTCAACAATATCATGTACATGTATTAATACAATTAAAAAAATGTACATCTACCCTGTGCCTTGGTTTTCCCACAAGGCATGGAAAAATGTTCCTTGGGGCATCATCTCCAGAAAATCCAGCTTTGATCGTATCCGATCCATTATCAATAACGACAGTTGTACCAGGGTCAGCCATGTTTAGAAAGTGGTGTTTGCTCTGTCGTGAATACTTGTGATGAAGGAATCACGGAATTTGAAATTATAAACAAACATCCCGGAGAAGTAATATTTATTTCAGCGATGTCATTAACTTCATACCAAAAATATACCAAACAAGGTAAATCTTACCAGGAAAGGCTAAATAGTGAACAATCAGAAAAATCAGCTGCAAATTTTTTCCTATACTCGGCACTTAGGGCCATTGAGCAGGGAGGGATCTTTTTCGTGCCAGCACCTACTGCGACACGGGACCTTGGTTTATACGGTCCCATGTGAACGCCCGGTCTCCACGTCCAACAGTGGGATTCGAACCCGCAACGTAAGGATTGACTCCTTACTTCGCGACTATAGAGCAGTCGCTCTAACAAATGCGCCACGCAGGCGACTAAAATGATAAAATGCTTTCTTTGGTTGTTAGTACGGGAATAAATGTCGCAGCCGTTGCAGAAAAAAATAAATAACTCGCGGAAGCAGGTTATGTAATTTTTTCTGCAATAGCTGCGGCGTTATTTCCCGTACTAACAAATAAACAAAGCATTTTATTATTTATATTTACATCTGTATTAAAAATCATTCAAAATAAAATTAAATTTGTTTAAATATTGTATTTAAGATGAATATGTCATTATATGTTCAACTGATTGAACAGCCATTGTTCAAAAAGTCAACGCATTTGGCTTGCTTATGGTTGTTCATGCACTGATTAATGGCAACTTTTTAGCACCAAGCTAACATATTCTGATTTTTTTTTTCATCTGTAAACCTCTACTGAGTGTGATTTGTCCATATTTGTAATTTTATTGAAAATATTTACTAATATTTTTCACGTCCATTGTATTGTCCAAGTCTAAGAAGAAAAAAATCAAAGAATTATCCACTTTTCTAAACCTGTGAGATGATATTGATTCTCCTCCAGAGAAAAAAAAATTGTTTGTATTATCTGCCTTTTTGGTAAAAAATCTCATGCAGGACGTAAAAAACTTAATCTATCAATCCTAATCTATTAATATTTAAATAATATCAATTGGGAGCAGATCAAATACGGAAAACAAAAAACGAAAGAGGGGCGGATTTAGGTACCTTGAGGGAGTAAATTTCTCCTGTCAACCAGTCACATCCGCCGTGTGCTGTCATGATCAAGTAAGAGGAGAAATCTAATGGCGTAAAATTTATATTAAAAAAGTGAGTCAGGATTTTTCCAAAAGTTAGATTGTATTTGCTGTATTTGTTTTGACCAAATAACTTGCAAAATGAGGATTTCAAATGAGACCGTTAATAGCATTGTTTCATCAACTTTCTGATGAATGGCTTGCCTCCTTTTTAAAACTGTTTGAACGAAGATCGTGTTCTTGCGTATCTAATCAACTTAAAGACATAAACTTCGCAGGTTATAAGGGAATATTGGCAAATATGTAAAAAAAAAAAAAAAAAAAAAAAGCTTGATAAGTTATCACTTTTATCAAAAAGATTTGTCGTAGGGTTACAATAAATGACTATTTCCTTAAAATATCCAAATATGAAACAGATGTGTCAGACTCTGTGTCTCTTTTATTTCAAGTTCATTTAGACATATTGAATCAACATACATGTATGAATGCAAGTAACTATGCATAATGTATAATATACCGGTATCAAAATGTGGGGTTGAAAGCCATGACAAGTGTTTTCTTCTTCTTATGTTGACGTTTTTGAATGAATTCTGCTTCGTATGAATGCAAAAAGTAGGATTGAAAATAACAGGAAAAATAAAAATCACGGGAATTCCAACAGATATTTGGGAGACCTGATCAAGAAAAACTACATACATATTTTCAATCAAAAACTCAAGAATCTTTTAATATTAACTTCAGAATACATATGTGTATAATGAGAATTTTTTAAACAAAATAATTTTGCAAATGGCCAATAATAAGCTTAGTATATTTTAAAGTTCCATTTTTAGTGAAAAAGTAGCTACCTATGGTGTCCAAAATCCTGAACTTTAATTTTTCTTTAGGAATAGTTGTCAAAGTCAAAAGTTTTGTTCATACCCGCTTTTTAATACCGGTATATGTATAAACTTTTATATTGAATACTGTTTTTTATCTCCATATCCTTCATGTAATAAGGGACAAATGGCAGATGAATATTCTAGAATAACAGTTTTAGAATACAGGATAATTATATACCAAGTTAATATTTTTAAAAATCGACCGAACTTTTACAAACTCTGAGGTATTATTGCAATATGCTGACTGTAATATATTATTACATATATGTAAATTGTACACTAAAAAGCTAGATTATTTGAAAAAGTCTAGCCTCCTTATTATTATTTTTGTTCATGTATCTCGAATATTTTGTATTTATTGTAAATAGAACCCCACATACATGTGCCATAAATTGGTTTAAAAGAATAAATTGAAATTGAACTTGATAATATTAATATTGGTGAATTTCTGGGATTTCAACTTGTTAAATTTTTTTGTTGGAATTTTCAAGTATCCCTGTTTATTTACACCATTTAATAAACCCTTTAACAGTACTCCCTAAGCTTCTGTTCACTGCCGTAAATATTTTGATGAGAAGTAAATGAAGAGGCTTGGTAGAACATTTACTCAAACCCCTAACGTATCTTTTTTTAAGAATATTAATATTTATGGACTTTTGGAATTAGTTTAAATAAATGTATTGTAATCAAAATCATTTTGTTCTTGGTAATATTAATAAAATTAGAAAAATCAAATAAGAATTTTGAAATCTTATACCCGTTTGAGCATCAAGAAAAGTAAGAGTTGCTGGACCTTTTATGCAATTTATATGCAAGTATCCATACGGACTTAGTATTTTTGTATCAGATGGACTCATTCAAGCAAAAATACAATTTACTATTGAGACATTGTAATTATGATAATTATGCTCGTTGAAACTGAAAAAAGCAACAGCATTCTGGATTTTGTGTATATGAAGGTATATCAAATATATTTATTTGGATGACATACAGTCAAAGGCTTTACATTGGCGTCGGAAGCAAATTGAAAGTGTGTGTGGGGGGGGGGGGGCCTAAGTGTAAAAAAAAAATTTGTACCTTCAAAAAACCCTGACCAA